AAGTCTATATTAACCCACGTAGGTACAGACCTATAACTGTTTCCAGATGTAATGACGTGTATCCGTATTGAGCTAAACGTGAGTTGGTAGTGACTTCTTCAACTCTAACCCAGTTCCACACAGGTAAGTCCGGTCTCCTCTTGTAGGTTTGCAGTCCCATCATCTCAGTCGGGACCTGGTTCCCACCATCGGCCGTCTGTTTCCTTAACTGCTCAGTTCCAGGGTCTCCTGTAGTCCTTCCGTAATTGTTCCGCACGGTCATAGAAAACAATTTAATAAACTACAGCGCTTTAATCTTATCGGTTCTACTCATGTAGGGCAGCATTTCTCTCCGCACTCCCTACTTCAGTGAGATCGTTTCGTGCATCTATAACACACTTAGATTCAACTCTTCCTTCTCACTGTGAGTCCCCTCTAACCCCTGATCTACTTAGCACCGAAGAGTTTTGCCTTTTCCAGGATGTCATATAAATGGAGCTGTACATCGTGTAGCTTTTAAAGACTGGTTTCTTTTACTTAGAAACGTCCATTAAAGATGGATCTGTGTCTTCATGGGATTTGTTAGCTCATTCCATTCTGTGAAGCTACCACCGTTTGTTTAGCCATTTGCCTACTTAAATTTGCTTCTAGTTTTTCTAGTTACGAACAAAATTGCTATAAACATTCTGATGCTGGCTCTTTGAAGACATAAGTTCCAGTTCCATTGGGCAAATACATACGGTGTGTGACCGGCAAGACTATGTTTCATAAGAATTGCCAAACTGTTTTCCTAGTGTGGCTGTTTCCACTTTGAACCAGCAGTGAATCAAAGTCTTTGCTGTTTCACAAAGTTTTATCAGTGTTTGCCAGCAAATGTTTTTAGATATGACCCTTTTAATCGGTGTCTAACAATCTCTCACTGTTGTTTGACTACTTTTTTAAAATAATAAAAATTTATAAGGGGTGGGGAATAAAATTGTAAACAAAACAAGAAATTGGAGTGATTGGCACGAATCATTAAGGACAGTCTGAAGTAGCTCAGACTGTAGGAGAAAGGGGTCTTCTTCTTAGGTTGTATTAGAAATGAGATAAAAGAGCCGGGCGTGGTGGCACACCCCTGTAATCCCAGCACTTAGGAGGCTGAGGCAGGAGGATCGCTTCAAGTTAGAGACCATTCTGGGGGCTACATAGTGAGTTCCAGGTCGGTCTCAACTACATAGTGAGACCCTGTCTCAAAAAAAACCCAAAAACACCAATAAGAGAAAAGAAGGCTGTCTGTCACCTGAGTGAAAGAGATAAAATTCCAAAAATTCTAATGGCTCCTTTTCATAATGGTACCTAGAATTTTTAAAAATCAGATATAATGAGGCACATAGATACAAGAAAGCATCATAAAGGAAGGAGTTTTTATATTTACAGAGCCCTAAAATCAGGAGGCATGGTGAACCAGGAGGGGCCACGAGGAGAGGAAAAGATGGTGAAAGGAAAACGTTAGCAAGAGCTTCTATTGTGGTTTTCACCTGGAGGGCAAGGCCAGGACAAGTAAGCATCTTTAGGGTGTCAGTGATTGAAGAGAGAGCTCTGAATTGGTTGGTTTGCATGCGAAAGGCTGCTTCCCAGACTAGTTGTTTGCTTTCTCTCAGAATTTGCTGGCCCTGAGAGGTAATGAGCCTTCCCCAAGTCCAAAGTCAGTAAGGTCCAAAGATGATAGAGCATTAGAAAGATATGCTTCATCTACTCCTCCTCACGTAGATTTCATTTTCAGGTCTATTTTCTTGGAGCTGTCTGAGGCTGCTTAACCCTCCTGGCTCCTGGGTCTGAGCTGTGTAAGGATCCCTCTATGCTTAGGGCCACATTTCCTCCAGGTCCTAGAAATGTGTGGTTGCTCCTGGTCTTCATGGCACCCATACACCTGTCATGTGCTTCCAGCTTTGCAAAGCGTGTCAGTGCACCTGTTGCATGACCCTGGGCGACCCCTCTGGAGGTGGAGGATTTGTCCTGTAGCTTTACTGCCATTTAACATTTCTCAATTCTTTCCGCTTGCCAAAGAATCTAAATATTTACAACTCCATTTTCCATATATCGTCCTGTGTTCTGTTCCCATTTTTCTTCTCTCAGATTTATATGCTATCTTTCTTCTAGGTTTCTCCTAATGTTTCATTCATCCAACACACATTTGCTGCACAGATTCAGCAACAGGAACTGTGCCAGGTCCCAGGGACACCAAAATAAACAAGTTTGTCACTGTGTGGTGGGAAAAATAGACATGAACATAGGTTGTGGGGTCTGATAATGTATAATGTGGTAGTCGTGTTCTTAAGAATTGTTCCACTTAATCTTCACATCACTCTCAAAGCGGATTCCATCACAACCTCCTCTCTCTACCACCATTCTTGGGTTGCAGATGGCCACCTTCTCTGTCTCACATGACCCTTTCTCTGTGCCCAGGCACCCCTGGGATGTCCTTGTGTGCACAAATTTCCTCTTCTTATAAGGACACTAGTCAGATCAGATCATGGTTCATCTATGTGGTCTTATTTAATGATAATGAAGTTTTGGAAGGCCGTGTCTCCAAATGGTCCTTCTGGGATTTTGGAAATCAGAACCTCAATGTGTAAGTTGTGGGAAGGAGTAACAATTCATCCCATAACACTGTTGGAATCCAATCCATGCTATCCGAAGTCCTCTTCAGATATATACTTCCTTCAAGATGCCTGAAATCTAATCAGATGCAACCTCTCTTTCCTTGTAATACCTTTACTCCTATCTACCACTTAACAAGGCCCTACTGAAAAGTTCAATGTCTGAACAATGTCTTATTTTATAAACATTTTTTATTATTGTATCTCCCAAGGGCATGTGGCTTAGAGTCTTACTCAGTGTAAAAACTCAAGAAAAATTCAGTGGTTGAATGAATAAGAAATTGGTTCACCCAGACAATGGGATATCATTCAGTTCTAAAAATAAATTGATTATCAAGCAATGAAAAGACATGGGGGTCCAGGTGGGGCAGTACCCATAATCCCAGCACTTTGAGAGGCTGAGGCAGGAAAGCTTTCAAGCCCAATCTAGGCAACTTTGTGACTTAGTAAGATCCAGCCTCAAAATAAAATAAAATATTTGGTAAAGGGCTGATAATGTCACTCAGTGAGAAAGACTTGGGTTCAATCCTCAGTAATACATTACACACACACACACACACGAAGGTTTAAATGCACATTGTTAAGTAAAAGAAGCCAATCCAAAAAGGTTTTAAAAACATGATTTCAACGATACTACATTCAGGAATAGGTAAAGTTATAGACAGGTAAAAAGATGAGCTAGTGGTAAGGTGGGATGGGCGGGCTAGAAGCAGGGATAGAGGACAGAGGACTTACAGGGCAGTGGAAATATTCCATATGATACCATTCTTGTCAAACAAAGAGTATACAGCACCAAGCGTGAAGCCTGATGCAGACTATGTGCCTGGGTGACGATGATATACAGTACTGGCTCACCCGTGTAATGAGTGTCCTGCCCTGGTGATAAACTTCTGTGGCAGAGGAGGCCGTGTATCTGTAGGGGGAGGAAACTCTCTCTATTTGGAAACTCTCTCCTGCTGTGAATGTAAAACTGTTCTAGATAATAGAATCTATCTACAGGGGGAAAAAATCAATAAATATAATTTTGACTGTATTGGATCTTCTACATAACCCTCACAATTTTGAAGATCTGGATCTGATATCCATCGTTGGGTCTCCATAAACTCTGCTTTCCTTTACAATAGTTAGGTCTCTAGCCTGACAAGGGACATTGAGACAATTGAGGAAGAGCACGGGACTAGGGTCCCAGTTCAGTGGTTCTGTGGCTGTGGAGGATATCTTCCTTCCCAAGCCTCACCTGCATGGAGGCAAACGGAATTTCCTGAGGACAGCACTTTCAGCCATCACCACAGTGGGCAGTGTGTGCTTTGGGGGTCTCCTGCTAAAGAAAGGTATTAAGAACTGCTGTGAGTGCCGCTGCTGACAAAAAAGCAAGTATCCACAGCTCTCAGTAAAGAAGTGGACAGTCGTGGGATAAAGAAGGGGATGAGAAGATCTGAGGACAAATCTGCTACAAGAGGCCAGAGATGAACCTCAGACCCTTCACCACTTTACCTGACATGAAACTCACTAATGAAACCCTAAATTCTCACAGACACCCTCTGTCTTGGTCATAAAGATCTGTACACATGGATTTAGGCCATGTTCTCCAATCCAGCCTTATACAATGAAAAGTCCAAATATGAATCACCCTATAGCATGCAGTCTCCAGTCAGCCCCAGTCACCCAGCCACCAAACTCTAATGAAACCCTAAATTCTCACAGACACCCTCTGTCTTGGTCATAAAGATCTGTACACATGGACTTAGGCCATGTTCTCCAATCCAGCCTTATACAATGAAAAGTCCAAATATGAATCACCCTATAGTAATCAGGTCATCACATTCACTCTAGCCAGAATTCATCTCCCCACTTGTTGATCAACTCAACGTGGTCTCAGCTGTGTTTCTTGGAGTCTTAGTTCACGTGGTGTGCTATAACAAAAATACCAGAGGGCTTAAACAACAGGCATTTATTTCTCACAGTTCTGCAAGCTGGAAAGTCCAAGATCAAGGCTCAGATCCTTACCTGGTGAGGGACCCCTTCCTGGTTCAGAGGCTCTGTCTTCTTGTATTTACAGAAGGAGAAAAGGTCTCTTTGGTTCCTCTTGTATAAGAACACTAACCCTCAACATGAGGGCCCCATCCTTTCAAAAGCCTCCTAACACCTTGCAGATTAGGATTTTCAAGATATGAGCAGGGTGTGGTGAAATTAGGGAACACAAATATTTAGCTCACACCAGAGCCCTGTAAGAATTAGGGAGGTGTTTCAAGAACCCGCTCGTGAGGGCGTAGGGTGCCAAGGAAGAAGGACTCTCCCACTCCAGCTCAGCCCGAGCAGGCATAGTTTCATCTGCAATGTACATCAGAGTCCTGCTTACAAGTGCAGATCAGAATTCAGTGTTTAAGCTTCACAGCATTTCTGAGATCAGATGTAAAGTCTCCCAAGTGTAGATTCTCATATGAGTGCCTAATTTGAGTAAAGTGCCCTGATTCCCAGATCTGACTATAGTCAGAAGCACCTACATGTCCCTACAGAGCTCAGCTGGAGGCTTTGGAGAGTAGTTTCCATGTTAAGCCAAACAGGTTTGGGAAGATAAGACGAAAACAGAGTTAGGCCAAAGACAGTGCTAGAGGTCAATCCAATTCCTCAGCGAAAAGTGGGCACCCAATAAATAAGAGTGTTTAATGTGAGACAAGCCTTCCTCTTTTCCTGCTCTAGCCAGGTCAGTGGGTAGTGAGATAGGTCGAAGGACTGTAAAGGCCACCCACACCCACCTATCTGTCAGTGTCCTTCTTGGGAAAAATAAAATAAAACACTACACCCATTTTTTGAGAGAGTTGATGACCAGGTAAGACTCTAACAAGTGGGCTTCCCTGGTACATCAGCAAGGTGAGGTGCAGAAAAGGGATCCTAGCTCTGATCCTAAGCCATCTTGGGGTCCTGAGAGAAGCAGTAGACTATTGTCAGATGTGGTTTATGAATATCCTTCTGGCTACTCTTCTCTGTGATATCAGTGACAGGACAGTTCTGAGTGTCCTCAACTGTGTGTTTCCTGGTTCTCTTTATAGGAATACAAATGAAGTGACCTGTGATAAGTCCTTAGAAGATGAGCTGTCCTTTGTGTGCGGGGACTTCTGACACTGGGTAACGAGAGATGGCTCAGGTGGCAGAGGTTCTGCAAGGATCCACAGGCATAAGGGTGTGTTGGGTGGGGAGAGAGGCTTTTGGGGTCCACGTCCTTTCTTCTGTGCCTGAGTATGAATGCCTGTGGGGAGAGGAGAAATGAGGAAGGAACATCACTGCCAACGCCTCCTTTCTCTCTCCCTTTTCGTCTTGTTTCTCACTAACTCTGAACATTAACTGAAATAATTTCCCTGCTCACCTTATAGTCACTGTCTTAACTCTTTCGTGTTCCTTTTGTCAGGCACCAAATAGGATAAACAAAGAACCTTTGACAATACAATAATCTAGGTTTGCTATCAGGTATATAAGTGAAGAAGAATTACTGGGGAAAGAATTAGTAGGAGTTGATCTAGAAAAAGCAACTTATCACTATCTGTATGACCTTGAGTGAATGAATTGCAGACTTTTCACTAGTTCATTCATCAAGCATTGTTTTATTCAACAAATATTTATCTTGGGCTAGGTACCTATAGTAAGACCTGGGAATTTTTTCATTCATTCAACAAGTATTTAAATTCATATTATGTGTCAAGCACTAATCAAGGAGTTGGGATGCAGCAGTGAATAAAATAAGCATGGTTTCTGTCATTAAACAATCTTATATTCTAGTGATAGACGGCAAGGGGAGACAATAAAAAAGTAGATGATCAATATGTCAGGCATTAGCCTGATATGGCAGTGCACATCTATAATCCCAGTGCTCTGGGAAGCTGAGGCAGGAAGATTGTCAAGTTTGAGCCCAGCTTGGACAACTTAGCAATTTAGTGAGACTCTGTCTCAAAAATAAAAAATAAACATAAGGCTGGGATTGTAGCTCAGTGCAAAGGCCCTGGGTTCAATCCCCAGTACTGTGGGGTGGGGAGTGTTAAATATCATGTATAAAGGGATTAAAGAAAGAAAGATGGTCATGATGATAACTTATATAGGATGTGGACATTTAAGCAGCAACCTGAAGGGTACGAAGGGAGATGCACAGGTATCTGGAACAAAAGCACATCACAAAGAGAATGATGGGGATGTCTCAAGCAATTGCACCTCAGTAAAGTTGGGGGGGGTGATGAATGACTTATCACATACAAGAGCCTTTTAAATTGCCTTCAATCCCTCCTGGAGAGGAACAGTGGAAACCACAAAAACAACCTAAAATGAGGACGAAATGAGATAAATATGAAAGGATTTTTAAAAGCATAGAAAGCTATATAAATCTCTGCTAATCCTATTAGTCACTGGTTTCTACTAACAGTCAGAGGGTGCATGCATGTATGTTTGAAGGCCTTATCATCCTCAAGGTAAATTAGTGCTGGCTTGAGTTCAACAGCTAATACAAATGCAAAAGGAATTCTAGGGTTTGGTGGCTGGGTGACTGGGGCTGACTGGAGACTGCATGCCACGCCTGCAGCCTGCACGCCAACATAGTCTTGTACTACACTACTTCCTGCTGCATTTGATTAGGAGGAACTGGAATCTCCTAACCAAGATGGGACTGAATTTCTTTATTTACATGAAAATAGCTGGTTAGAAAAAAATCCCTTTGCCTTGTGCAACTAGTCAACCAAATTCTTTAGCACAGGTAAACATATTTCCACAACTGGTGAAGTTCTAATTGGGTAGCAGGGGAATCGTCAACCTGTAAGGAGATTCTTCTTACTTTACAAAAGCTTGAAACCAGGGCTGGGGATTTAGCTCAGTGGTGCCATTGCCTTGCAAACACAAGGTCCCGAGTTGGATCTGTGGTACCAAAAACAAAACAAAACAAACAAACAAACAAAAAACCTTGAAACCAGATGGGGATATAGTTCAGTGGTAGAGCATGTGCCTAGTATGTGTAAGGTCCTGGGTCCCATCCCTAGCAGAGAAGAAAACAAATGTTCTAATCACCAGCTTCTCATACATTTTTTCTTAAATCTAACTTATGGGGATAATCGAGAACACACACACTAGAGTTCAGCCTGAATGTGGCATTTTAGCGGAAAACCCCAGCTGAGCACACAACAAGTATGCTTCGGCTTTGCCAGAAGAAAAATAGTTATGCATTATACATGGACTATAAAGACATTTTTTGTAAGCCTTACTTTAAAATGTTTGAGTTTTGGAACTTAAAATGTTCCATGTGTTTTGTATTTCTTGTTCACTCAGACTAAAGAGAAGTGATTGAAATTTCAGTTTCAGCATACATGCAGTAGAACCCAGGAATGTTTAATATAGCGTTATTCTGTAGCTACAGAGTTTGTAAATAAGGCTTTTTACTCATTACTGGTTGCAGTGAGGAAAGTATTCATTCAATCAATATTTATTAAGTACCAACTATGTGCCAGGCCCTATTTTTGGTACAGGAGCTACAACAGCCCATTGAATATATACATTACAGAAAACAGACCATTACATAAACATGATACTGTGTCAGGTCATGAAGAAATTACTCTCTGCCTGCTTTATTCCCAGATAGGGAATGTGGGTAGGGCTGCTGTTTTAGCAGAGGGAAAGCCTCTCTGTGGAAGTCTTATTTGAATAAAGACCTTAATGAATGCAGAAAGGAGCCTTTGGTGGTGGCCAAGAAGTGCCCCAGGCAGAGGACTAGGATCAGCAGAAGAGAGCTGTGACAGCCCGAACACCACTTGGCAAGGGCGAGGTGAGTAACAAGGGACAGCAATTGATGGGAAATGTGGTCTCACACAAAACCCCACATCTCAAGGTCTCCCCCCTCCACTCAAGTAGAATGGCCACTGGTCTATGGTCTGACCTCATTTTTTGGAGGTTCAAGAGACGATAATAAATTGTAAGGACCTGTGATAAAACCACAACCTCATTAAGTGTCACATTAACACATATGAAAACATATACTTGGTGCTTTCCCTCCTAGGGCGGTTTACCTATGTATGCGTCCAACTGCCTGAAATGTCCTTCCAGATCTTCTGCCTGTGTGACTGCCCCATAGTTCAAGACTCCGTTTAAACTGTGCTTCCTGTAGGAATCCTTCCCTAACTCCTCAGGCTGACCACGCTGAGTGTCTCTCTTTGTGACTGCAACTCTAATTTAGAATTTCCTTGCCAGCAATAGATTGGTCTTCAGAACCCTGAAACAGTACATGAGAGAGCTTGTGAGAAATTCTTCATTTTTCAAAAAAGAAGGTTCACAAATCCCATGAGATTGAAAAATGAGTTTGTCACTTAAAAGAAGGAAAACCACTATTCGCGGCCAGTGCTTCATAAATAATAAATGGGCACACAAACCACGCACATTTCATTAAAATGAAGATTGCAATTGAATAGGCGAGTGGGGAGGTTGGCGCCCTCTCCCTGGACACACTCTGCAGCAAGCTGCACTTGCTTATGTACACTGGCATAAGGCTCCTGCTCCTTGAGACTGGTCTCTAGACAGCAAGGGCATTGCTAACACTTCCTGACACTTCTCCTGAGCACAGACTCACAGAAATAGCCAAGGACTGGGCCTGACACATGTTCTACACATATTAGTCTCAGTTAGGCTTCTAAGGCTACCACCAATTGTTTCAAGGCTAAGCCTTTCCAAAAGACAGAACAGAATCTCAGAATCCCTAAAATCTTCCCAGAACAAAGCTTTCCTCTCTCTTCCATGGGACAAACCCCCCTCCCCACACTGAAATCTGAAGTCATCATAGTATAGGAAATGCGCTCATTCAGAGGGATAACCCTCTATACCAGTTATGGCGACGAAACTTTCAGAGACTGAGTGCCCAAACTACATCCCCCAAACCCACTTGTTTGTTGCAAAGTGCCAACACTGTGATTAAACCTGAATATCTGATGTTTCGCTGCTGGGTTGACGCTGGGGTAACTTGGCTTGCCTGCTCACAAGAGGAGGCTTTATGGGCCGTAGCAGCACGTGCCAAATGCTCACCACCACTGCTCCACATGAAGGCATTTTCCCTCCCCGAAGACAGAAACAAATAACCTGAAGCATCAAGAGAGCCAGCATATGGACCGAAAGAAAGCCATCAAAAAACAGATCAGTACCACCACGTTCTTGGAGAGGTAGCGTCTAGGGCTGGAAGTGAACTCTCATTTTAAGAATGAAGTGAGACAAACCCTAAAAGGAACGGCGTAGGAGGAGGAATACAATTGCAGCCTCCGACAACTTGCACAAACTGTAAAAGAATTTAATCGTGTGGCAATAAGGTGCTTTCAATAGCAGCTGACAATAAAGCAAATGAAAAAATTTACACACAAGACGTGGTGGAAACGTCTGTATGTGTGCAAAAGGAATTTTTATGTGATACTTTATAAATTCTTATTTTCAATATACCAAGTGTAACGAAAGTTATGCATATTTTATAAAAATACCTTTAGCTAAACAGGTCAGAAGTAACTTTTTCAGTAAATCCATATATAAAATAAATCATATATAAAGTATATACATTACTGCCAAATGGAACATGTATTTTGAAATACAATCCTCGAGTAACTCTCACGAATCTAGAGCAGAACCCAGGTATCTGCCAAAGGAAACTTCTCAGCAGTTGTGGTTCGCGGGAAGGATACAATGCGTTATCTCTTATCTTCTGGACTTCTTTGTCAAATTTCTAACATCACTTCAGCAGAGTTCTGTATTTGACTTTCGACCTCGTGGCTATTTGACCTGCCAACTATTATTTTCTTTCAGGCGTTTAAACACTCCACCCAGTATTTGGTTTTCCGAAGCAGTTGTGTCCGTTTCCTTTTCAACTTCACCTTAAGAGTGGCTACGGTTTAGGACGTTGGCTCAACACCCACCCCCTGAAGAATCAGGCCAAACGGGGCATCGCAGTGACCGCCTGACGCTGGCACCGTTCTGGGAGCCCAGGGCTCCTGCAGGGCCTCGCGGCGTCAGGATTTCCAGGCAACCTGAGGCCCTGCCCAGGCCACCGTGCGGCCTGGGACCTCACAGCAGGAAAACGCCGCCCTTTCCTGTCTCCCGCTCCTTTCGCAGGCGGGCGAATCGCAGAGGAAGACAGGCTGATTTTAAAATTACTCTTAATTCTCGGCTCAGGCTGTGGCCCGGGGCGGCG